AAACTGACTGGTGCAAATCAAGGCTGTACAATTTAATCCTCATTGGAGATTATTCTTTTTACATGAACTTGCATGAAAACAGGTTTGGGATCCTTATTTCAGATTTTTATCAAGAATGAATTGCAAGTGGTACTTGTTCACTTGGACAGAAATAATATTCTTGATTGTCTGCAAAGGCGTTGGTTAAGCAAATCTGTAAATTGCTGACTGCACAATGCACAAAAATATTCAGCAATATTCAACACAGCCAATGTTTCCACTTCTGTTTTAGTTTGATCTGACCCTGTGAGATACTGAGCACAATGAGAATCAGGTGCCCAGCAGACAGAAGTTCACCATATCAATAGGCTGAGGGTTTTATATTGGTTTTGTCTCAGTGATACTGAAACACCATTCAGCTGTGGTGACAACTCCTTACATCTTTGATGCACCACATCATCCTGAAAGGTAGTGATGATTCAAGATTCTTCTGTCTCCAACAATATTTGAGCAAACCTGGATAAAATTAACAGGTTCCAGCTGCTGGCTCAGCTGTGTCCTGCAGGGTGTCTGCTGGAGCCCCCACTGCCAGCTCCTCCCTGTTTATACCTTGTGCCTTCCTATCTTCCCTTTGCCCTGCCTTCCTGGTTTTTAGATCACCAGTGTTGTCTTCCAAGGTCTGTTTTGCAGAAATATTTCTTTGTACAGGAAAGTGTACTAAATAAACTTGCCACTCCAGCAGGGGACATTTATTTAGTAATAGCTTGTACCATCTCCATTTGGATTCTATCTAGGACTTTGAGACCTACCCTCCCACTGAGAAATCAAAAGCAGCTGCGATCTTTCTTGACACTCCCAGAGTATAAATTGTGTTAAAAGGGGCAATAAGTGAAGGTGAGCAGGGCTGGAGTTCCTCAGTCCCTTTGTCTTTCTCACTGGAGGGACATCTGCTCCCAGGAGTTCTGCATCACCACCACTGCAGTTTGCCAGGCAGTTCTGGAGCGTGCAGCAGCGACCAGGGCTGAGGCAGAGCAGATCTGCTGTCCTTCAGCACAGTTACAAAGTGCCAGAATTGAGTTTATACACTGTGCTTCCAGCAGATGAAAGAGCAGATCTGAAAGGGCTATGGATGCGAACAAAAATGAAGACCAATATTTTCAAACACAACCACTGCATGCCCATGGACTTACAGCAGATTTTTGGAAGCGTTCCATGTTTCATAATCTCCAAAGGGAGCAATGTTTATTGAATGAAACAACTCTTTTCAGCAGTTTTGCACTGTAGCAGAAGGTGTAGCTTTTATGCCTGTATTTGTAAAGGCTGGAGAATAGGTTCAGCTGCACTAAATTCAGTAAGGCTTTCCAACATAGGGTTAGAACCAAAGAGGGGCACCAGCCAAAGGACCCTCCTTGATCCATGTCTTCACACTAAGGACTTTGGAATCCAGAAAACTACAGGATTTGTAGCTGCAAAAAAACTTAAAATTTGTAGTAGCCTTTGATTCTTTCAAACTCAAATTTTACCCAGGACTGAACCACAAGATAAGAAGACAGCAGGATATATATAAAGGTGAGATGTGAGGGAAAAATGTACTTGAACTGCTGGCTTTTCTGAAGAATTCATGTGACAGGCTCGAGCTGTTGCTAAGAACATAATAGGAATTTAAGGCAACTCAAGAATCATACGAAAACCTGAAATTCAAATTAATAATGCAATACTAGATCTTATTTTAAAAAATCTTTCAAATGAAAAGGTCTGCAAAAACATTCTCAAGTTACTGCAGTGTAAGTTCCTTTCCTGGATAAGCTTGATCTGATTCACAGCAAATATGAATGTTAATCAGTACACTAAAACATACCTGCTTAAAAAAATTATTTTTACTTTGTCTTTGAGCCTTTCCATGAAATAAGTAAAAAGGGAGCAGGAGAACCGATCTCTTTCAGAGGAATTTGAAGGTCATTCTAACACAAAATCTGCATGGTTTTGTATCATTTGCAGCATTTGAGCATCTTCCAGATAGTTGCTTTTTATTTTGATTTCCCACATTCTAGGAAATAAATACCTTTGTGTGTTTTCAGACGTTTTTTAAATATTCTTCTATTTTAGTGTGAATGTGCAGGAAATTCAAGTCCAGCAGGTGCTACATTTGTGCTACATAGGTGAGACATCAGTTAGGAGGCTGCCCAAGGTGGAAGTTGAGTCTGTGGCCCTGGTAACAGCTTTTTGCTGAGCTGAGAATGCAACATCGTGGCAAAGGTGGTTTGGGATAGGTAGGCAATTCCTTTATCAGATAACTTCAGCCAATCTCTTGAAGTGCTTTGTGTAACAGGACCTGAACTTAAACTGAACTTTGATTCCTGTTAAGAAGCTGTTGCATTGAGAAGATCCCTGGGAAATTGCATCCATACTCACCTAAGTTTTCCAGATGACTCAGTTAATTTCTACTCTAAATCTTTCAAAAGCTGTTTCTTCAGTAAGCTGATGAAGTCTTGTTCTGAAGGTATGCTGGACTCCCTACTAGAACATAATCCAGACTCATATATTCACATTAATGGTGAATACTCTTTATCTGAAGTTCTCCCTACTGCTTTCTTGTGGCTTCAGTTTGACATCTGAGAGCAAAACACACAGAAAGCTTTTAGTCTCCCTATTCTTATATAATGGATGACAGGTAAGCTTTCAGTGTAGCTTATATTACTTTGGGGGAAAGTTTATATTGAAAAATTATGGCTCCTGAAAATTAAAACACAACCTCTCAGTACCTGAGGAAATAACATGCCTAGCCCTGAAACAGGAAATAAGAGACTATCCAAATGCAGATATTTTTCAGTGAAGTACAACATTATACTCATCATTTGAAAGAAATAATCCAGTATTTTTTCTTTCAACATGTTCTTTTCAACATGTACTTTTATTACTTTTTGCTTTGCCCACTGTGTATATTGGTTTCAAGGGTTTTTGTAGAGGCACGATTGTGCAAAACCTGGACTGTTGAAAGCTGTTACTTCTGGAGCAGACCATTAATATTCCTAATGGATGTCGACAAACAGATTATGGGGGCAATTCAACACAGCAGAACTTCTTCTTGAAGATGTTGTTCTATAAATACAGGTGCTGTAGTCAACTCTTTATTAAGGGGGATAACTAAATTGATTTTATATAACTTGCGGCTCTAAGACAGTAAATATTCCTTTTTAAAAATTCTCTGATGCTTTCTGCCTGCAATGGGTAAACATGAGAGAAAAATAATCAATCTTCACAAAATTTCTATGAAGTGATCAATTTGAATGTTTAGCTTTAAGCAAGAGTGCAAAAACATTGAAAACTTGAATGATATGTTCAAAATCACAGAATGGCAAAGTCTGAAATCAAGACCTAATCAGGGTTAACTGAGTGTGCTGAGACCCCACTAGTCCTCTCAGAGAGAGGAGAGATGGAAAAGATTTGAAAACGTGATGGATATTCAAAATGAGTTTTGATCCCAAGTTCCCAAATTTGACATCTCAAAAAATTTGCAGGTTTGAGCCTACTGCCTTGCAGTGTGAAGAAAGAATGAACTAGGGTCTGTATGAACAGAAATGATTTTGTTGTAGGGCCTGTCTGCTGCTCTCCTGGACTATAACAGCTTTTCTGTGATCTGTGTTTCAGTGCCCTACTGACAAGTGAGAACGTGCACAAATCGTGAAGTTTATTGCGAGTACAAATGAACAACTGTAGAGAGATTATTCATCGCACCCTGACACAGCTCAAGCACAGAATTAATTGGGTGCAGATGCTGAACAAATGGTTTGAGTTTTGTTGCAGAGGATGATGCCAGTGCTGACATGGGGAGTAACCACTGTGTCTGCTGGACTGAACTTTGCTTGAACAAAAGTTCAGACTGGCGGGTTTTTTGACATTTTGGATCCACTTCATTAGCAAGGTAGCTAGGCAAGGGGATCTTGTATGCCTGGGGCTGTGCCACAGTCACTTTGCTCATATCCTCTAGCTATGAGAACTTGAAAGAGAAAAAGCAAATGGCTTTTGTTCAGCAGTATGTGAAGTGCTATTTATCCTGGAGGGCTTCTCTGGTGTTGAAATACTGGCTTGAGATCTTCATCAAGACACAATGTAAGTTATTACCAAAATGTCCACAGGCTTTGTGATACTCAAAGGATTTGTAAAGATAATATATTGCTATCAAAGATCTTTCAAGCCTAGTTTCCAAAAGAATCAGGTTTTATTGTTTATATGGTATAAAAACTGTAGAAGAACATTATATGTTTGCCAAAAGTAGCAGTTTTTTTGGAAACAAACATTTTACTTATATCCACACTTGATCACATTAGCCTGAGAAATTAATTTATAAATAATATCACAATGATAATTCCTATTGGACAAAGCATATCAGAGGGAGAGAAATAGAAGCTGGGAAAACAACTGGGAAGGAATCAGACTAGAAAACTTTCTCAGCATCTTCTGGATTAGGCAAGTTCAAGGCTGTGATGAGAGAGAAATAGTAGCTATGACAAATGTTCTTCTGACAGAGCCAGGATTTTACTTGGCACAACCAAACCTGCTTCATCCCACAGATGGGGGCTGTGGAAAGAATCTCTCATACTGGCAAAAGAGATTTCCTTCATGGTATGTCTCTCCTTTGTGTAGTGGCTTATGAAATACCCTATGCCTCAGCCTACATCAGGTGGAGGAGTTACAACTTATAAAGACTCTACTGAATTAGTGTAAATATATGCAACATGCAAACCAGGAAAGGAGTATAATGGGAGAAACAAAATAGTTACAAATGTTAAAGGGATATGAACACTGAAAGAAGTTAATTGAAAACTGACAGGACCTGATACAATAGTGAGAAAAGAAAGAATAAATGAATTAAATGGAAACATCAGGGTAAAACCAGAAAATATTTCAGAAGAAGTGTGCAAATATAGGTAAATATATCAAAAGGACACTTACTGTCCATTAGAAATGTGTTCTGGACTACAGCTATGAGCTAATGATGCTTTTAATTCTTTCTAAGGCATTGAAAATTCTGTGGGATGGAGAGACATGGTGGATTGTTGAAATACTACCTAATGTTTATCCTGCAGTGATTCAAAACAAGCCATCCAAGCTTAAAGGAAAACACTGTTCATCACTGGAAGCTGTAAGTGGCCACATGTGCACTCATCTGATGGAAGGAGAGAAATGTGCCCCTTCGTTTTGTAGGATGCGTGGCCAAAAGTAATCCTAAGTGCTGTAGTAAGCAAACTCCTACTATGATGCAGTGGTGCTCTGGCATTTTAATAGCAACTAAAGGAGTAACCTTATTTAGGACCCATGGCTCAGGACCCATTCCTAGGAACAAAAATAGGACAATACCCGTCATGATTGGTTATTTTTTCCCCCATTTTACCAGCCTCTGGAGACTAAACTGCTGAAAGTGCTGCTGGTCAAGCTGGCAGACAAGGGGGCTAATGGCCTTCAGCCATGGTAGCTGGTGGGATCCAAATGAGCATATGATGATGGCATGGCAATGGTTTCCAGCTCTGTGAAGGAAAGCTCCTGCTCGTTTGGTAGTTCTTCTTGATGAACACCACATGTCTATACTGAGCTTTCTCTTCTATTTATTTTAAATTTCCTATGAAAGTAATTTCTATGTGAAGGAATAAGGAAGCTACGTGCTTAAAAAGAAAATAGAACTGTAGTGCTCAGAAGTATGTTTATTCAACTGTGAAGTTCACTGCTGAAACGGGGATTGACAGACGTTAGCCATATTTTATCACCACTCTCAGGAATGCCAGGACTAGAAATGCTCAGGAGAAGCTGATGCCAACGTGTACTGAGAAGATTTATTCTTGCTTTTCTTTCATTGTGCTTATTCCAGACTTCCCACAGCAGGCCTTAATGAAAAATATTCCAAAGTTCAGCGACAGTTCCAAGTAACTGACAGATGGAACAAAGTTCACCAAGAACTTTATTAAGGAAGAGGACAACCTGAGGTAGGGTTTAGGAGAGATGCAGGTGATTGTCTCTGATACTGCAATCCTCAAGGCCTTCTGTCAGCTTGCAGCCGAAGCTGGACATGTTTACTCTGTGTTGGCAATCCAGTGTTTGACTTTCTAAGCTGCCAAAATTTGACTTCTTCCCTGTCCAGAACAACTGTGCTAATAGTATTTATGGAGCAAGCATTCCATGCCTAAAACCTAAGGAAATGCCATACTTGAGCAGCTTTCTTCTGCCTGCCTTGCTTGTAGGTGTGGCTGCAGAACGTGATGGGAAAAGGGCACATCTGCCCCAGGGTGGTCTCAGGCACAACCTGCAGCAGCAATGGGTTTTGTCCTCAGGCTGCCTCTGTGTCCCAGCAGTCCAGCCCATGTGCTTCTCTCTCTGCTTGTGAGATATTTTGTCTGATGAGGGTGAGAGTTGCAAGGCAAACTTATTTCAGGTCAGGAGAAAGTTTCCCCTCTGTTACTATGTCCCTTTGTCTATAAATAATTAGGCATTCATTTTAGCATGTGAACTGTAAAATGCTCTTTAATCTCACCAGATGAGGATTAGCTGAACAACCTACTAACTCATGGTAAGGAAAGTATCCAGGAGTGGTTCTTAATAGAAGGGACTTTTCAGTTTTATGTCTCTTTATGACCTATCCCTGCTATCTTTGCACGAACACACACACACACAGAGCCATCTGATCAATACTCTTGATTATTACTTTGATTAAAATCTTGAGAAAAGTAGAAAGATTTAAAGATTCCTGGTCAATGTTGTGTTTAGCTGCATGGTCTGTCCATGTTCTCATCACATAATGTTCTGCCTCTGATAAAGAAATAGATATAACCAATCTGATTGATTAATGGGATGTAGTTGCACATAATGTTGCTATAAATGTGTGCACTGAACCAGTCACAAAGAGCATAATATGCAAACAAGCTTTTGCTAAAGGAATTTACAAATAACTTCTGTTAATAGACAGCAAATGCAGGTAAAATTCATTGAAATAGTGATTTATTGCAATTACTTGATTTGCTTTTGAATACATTTATATGCATATGCAGAGAGAATGTGGGATGTTATGAAAGAGTGAGAAATAATTCAGAGGGTTTTTTTGTTTCTATACAAACAAAATCTGTATGCAAGCTTTGGAGGCAGGGAAAAAAAGAGAAACAAAGAGCAGAACTTCTATGTTTTCCAGAAGTGCCTTGACATATCAGTCCTGATTTACTGCACCTTACAAGAACTTATAGGGAAGGTTGGAGACATTCTTTTCCCATTGGGGAGTGTTGAATGGAATTGCTGTGGAGTGCTGCTTCATCAGTACTCAGGAGAGTGATGTTCACTACTACTGGCTGAGAGATTCTGCTTCTGCTTGAGAGGTAAGGCTGCATGCTCCTCCACTTCTCTGGGAATCTTTCTACTCTGGAACATTAGCTGTGATCCAGATTTTATGAAAATCTGTTTAATAGCAGTGCAGAGAATGAGTTGCAGAGCCATTTATAACAGCCAAAATAATTCAGTTGTGACCTCTTTGTGTTCCCATAAAACTGTTTTTCCCTCAGCATCAGGAGATGAGTCAGCAGTAGTGATAACAAGAGTTAGAGAAATACTGGAAAAAACAAGTGTCCCAAGTACTTTGGCAGTGAAAAATTAAGCTTCAAAGTGATTTCTTCATGGAACATTTTTTCTCTCTCCAGGACACCAAACTGACGGAGTATATTAAAGAAAGAAGAAAAAGAGGGAGAGAGAGAACGAAAACAGGACTTGGATGATATTTCTCAGTGTCTGCCAATATCTAACATGCTTTTGGAAAAGTTGTGTAACACAACCTACCAAGAGAGCCCTGTTTGAATAGAGGCTAATAATCCTTTCTATTTAGTGCTGTTTGTGGTTTTGCAGAGCTGACCTGCAGGGCCTCATTTTTTGACTGGTGAAACAGGCTGTATTTTTTCTTAAGGCTATAAGGATCAGGAAGTTGTCCTCTGAATACATGCCTGACTAGAATTTGCCATCAGTTTACCAGCAGCTCTATTATTCTTAAGCCTATAGGACACTTTGAATGATAGAAAACCTTGAATGTTCTCTTTTGTGAAGGCGAGTGCTTGCCTCCAGTGATCAAACATGCAGATAGAAGGTCAGGAAACTTGCAGTATAAAGTGTTACGTTTGAAATAATTTAAATGAGGACTGTTGCAAAGGGTTTACTTTCTGTTTTGCAGTGTTTTCAGTATAATTTCTTTAGATATTTTAATCTACTCTGCATGACAAATTAAAGGTAGTGTTGCACAATGCTTTTCATTACAGAAAAGTGTCAACAATGTAAATTTTCAAATGAAGGAATATGACTTCTAATATTGAACTTCTTTTATTTTCATGGCCTTTAGGTAATGGCTATGAAGAAAAATACAAGGAAAATCGTTGAAATTTTTTGGGGTCTTCTTCATGATAATGAGGGACAAAACTGAGGAGGCAGGTTCCTATGTGTTTGGAAGTTTGTGTTCAGGGACTCTCCAAGGCTGATACCAACACTGAAAACTGCTGCCCGAGTCTGAAGCAGGCAGTCTGCCTTCTGAATAACAGTTTGGCATGGGATGGGTAGTGGTAGTGGGTGACTCCCTTCTGAGGGGAGCAGAGGGCCCCATATGTTGGCTGGATCCATCCCACAGTGAGCTCTGCTGCCTCCCTGGGGCCTGGGTATGAGATATCACCAGGAGACTCCCTGGGATGATTCAGCCCTCTGATTGTTCCCTACTGCTGATACTCCAGGCTGGCAGTGATGAGATTGAAAAGAGGAGTGCCAGGGCAATTAAAGGGACTTTAGGGCACTGGGTCAAGTGGTTGATAGGGCAGGAGCACAGCTGGTGTTCTACTCAGTCCCTTTGGTGGCAGAGAAAAACAATGAAAGGAACAGAGGACCCAACGTTATCAACAAGTGGCTCAAGGGTTGGTGTCATCAGCAGAATTTTGGGTTCTTTGATCTTGGGGCAACTTTTACAGCACCTGGCCTGCTGGAACTGGATGGGCTCCATCTCTCTGTTAAGGGCAGAAGGATTTTTCTTTATGAACTGGCAGAACTCATTGAAAGGGCTTTAAACTAGGTTTGGGGAGGGAAGGGGATGCAGCTGTGCTCTCTGGGAACAGGCCCAAGAGTGGTAAGGCTGAGTTAGGGGTGAAATCAGTAGCCCAGTTGAGGTGAAGGTATGCATGTACTCAATATGGGTAACAAACAAGAAGAGCTGGAAGCCCTGGTGCAACAGCAAAACTGTGATGTAATTGCCATCATGGAAATGTTGTGGGATGACTCAGGTGGCTGGGGTGCTGCACTGGATGGCTACAAACTCTTCAGGAGAGACAGAAAAAGAAGAAAAAGTGGACAGCTAGCCCTTTATATTAGGAAGGCTTTTGATTCCATGGATATTGAAACTAATGAAGACACAATTGAATGCCTATGGGTAAGAATTAAGGGGAAGGCCAACAAGGCTGACATCCTACTGGGAGTCTGCTATTGTCCACCTAACCAGGAAGAAGTGGTGGACAACTTATTCTATAAGCAGCTGCAGAATGTTTCAGGATCACCAGTGCTTGTTCTTGTCAGTGATTTTAACCTACCAGACACCTGCTGGGAACTTAACACAGCAGAAAAGAGGCAGTCCAGAGTGTGTGGAGGACAGCTTTTTGTGACAGCTGGTGAGTGAGCCCACTGGGGAGGGACATTTTAGAACTATTGTTTACAAATAGAGATGGGCTGGTGTGAGGTGTGGTGGTTGGAGGCTGCCTGGGGCATAGTGATCATGAAATTACAGAGTTCTTGATATTTGGTGAAATGAGGAGGAATATCAATAAGATTTTACATTGGAGTTATAGAGGGCAGACTTTGGTCTATTTAGGAGACTTATTCAGAGACTTCTTTGGGAAGCAGTCCTTTAAAATAAAGGAGTCCAGAAAAGGTAGGTGTGCTTTGAAACAGAAATCTTGAGGACACAGGAACAGACTGTCCCTGCGTGCCAAAAGATGAGTTAAAAAGACAAACATCCAGCCTGGATGGGCAATGAGGTTTTGGAGAAACTTAGGAATAAAAAGAGGATGTATCATATTTGGAAGGAGGGTCAGGTCTCTCAGGAAGTATTTTAGAGCTAGGGCATGTAAGGAAAAAAAAAAACCTATGGAGGCCAAAGCTCAGTTTGAACTTCATTTGGTAACTTTCATAAAGGATGATGAAAAATGTCTTTACAAATATATAAATGGCAAAAGGAAGGGTAAGACCAACATTTTTTCTCTACTAGATGTGGGAGGGAACTTAGTAACTGCAGATGAGGTACTTAACAGAAGGTGAAGGTGCTTCATGCCTTCTTTGCCTAAGTCTTTAGTAGGAAGATGGCTTGTCCTCAGGACAGCTGTGCTCCTGGGCTGGTAGATGGTGTCAGGGAGCAGAATGAGCCCCCTCTTACCCAGGAAGGGGTAGTTGGAGAACTGCTAAGCCACTTGGATGTTCATAAATCCATGGGACCAGATGGGATCCCTCCAAGAGTGATGAGAGAACTGACACATGAGCTTGTGAAACCTCTCTCCATCATTTACCAGCAGTCCTGGCTCACTGGTGAGGTTCCAGATGGCTGGAAGCTGGCCAGTGTGACACCCATTCACGAAAAGGGTAGGAAGGAGGATCCTGGTAATTACAGACCAGTCAGTCTGACCTTTAGTACCCAACAAGGTTATGGAACAGTTTGTATTGAGTGTCACCACACAGCACTTGCAGGATGGCCAGGGTATTAGACCCAGCCAGCAGGGGTTTGGGGGGGTAGGTTTTGTTTGACCAACCTGGTCTCCTTTTATGACCATCAGACCCACCTCGTGGATGCAGGAAAGGCTGTGGTTGTTGTCTACCTGGATTTCAGCAAGGCCTTTGACACTGTCCCCCACAGCACACCCCTGGAAAAGCTGGCAGCCCATGGCTTGGACAGGAGCACTCTGTGCTGGGTTAGGAACTGGCTGAAAGGCTGGGCCCAGAGAGTGATGGTGAATGGTGCTGCATCCAGCTGGGGGCAGTCACCAGTGGTGTCCCTCAGGGGTCTGTGCTGGGGCCTGCTCTGTCCAAAATCTTTATTGCTAACATCGATGAGGGGGTTGAGTCTTTCACTGGTAAATTTGCAGGTGCCACTAAGCTGGGATTGTGTGTCCATCTGTTGGAAGGTAGGAGGGGTCTGCAGAGAGACCTGGAATGGTTGAATGAATGGCAGAGTCCAATAGGATTAAGTTTAATAAGTCCAAATGCCAAGTCCTGCATTTTGGCCACAATAACTCCCTGCATCACTACAGGCTGGGGACAGTTTGGCAGAAAGGGACCTAGGGGTACTGACAGCTGGCTGGACATGAGCCAGCAGTGTGCCCAGGTGGCCAAGAAGGCAAAGGGCATCCTGGCCAGTATCAGGAATGGTGTGGCCAGCAGGAGCAGGGAGATCATTCTGTCCCCTGCACTCAGCACTGGTGAGGCCACACCCTGAGTGCTGTGTCCAGTTCTGGCCCCTCAGTTTGGGAAGGACGTTGAGACACCTGAGTGTGTCCAGAGGAGGCAACGAAGCTGTGAGGGGCTTGGAGCACAAACCCTGTGAGGAATGACTGAGAGAGCTGGGGCTGTTTAGCCTGGAGAAAAGGAGACTCAGGGGTGACCTTATCACTCTCTACAACCCCTGAAAGTCGGGGGGATTGGTCTCTTTCTCCCAGCAGCCACTGACAAAACAGGACACTGTCTTAAGCTGTGCAAAGGGAAATATAGATTGGATATTAGAAAAAAAGTTTTTGTAGAAAGAGTGATAAAATACTGGAATGGTCTGCCCGGGGAGGTGGTGGAGTCACCATCTGTGGATGTGTTTAAAAAAAGACTGGACGTGGCACTCAGTGCTGTGGTTTAGTTAAGGTGTTAGGGCATGGGTTGGACTTGATGATCTTGAAGATCTTTTGCAACCCAGTGATTCTGCAATCCCTGTCCTGAGGTTTGGGGCCTACTTGCCACCCAAAGCTACTGCGTTTACAGTTTCACTCATGTGATTGACCCACCAGAATCCCCTTGCACAGACATAGGTTGGGCATGGTCACAGCATACCTCTGACAAAAATCTTGTCAGGTCTTTTGTTGGCTGGTCTATGCATGTTGTGCATCCAGTTGCTTCTGGAGCAGGTGACAAAGGGTGACAAAGATAATTAAGGGATTGAAACATCTTTATTGTAAGGAAGTGCTGAGGGATCTGAGCCAGTTCAGCCTCAAGAAGAAAGGGCTGAGAGGCACCGTGTCAGTGTCTTTGGATATCTGAAAGGAGGGTGTCAGAGGATATTTCCAAGCCCTTCTCAGCGGTGCCAAGCAGTCGGCCAAGCGGCAACAGGCAGACACTGAAGCACAGGAAATTCCACCTGAATATGATGAAAAATTTCTTTACTGTATGTGTGACCAAGCACTAGAACAGATTGCCCAAAGGGGCTGTGGAGCTTCCCTCTCTGGAGATGACCCACTGTGGTCCCATCCAGCCTGACCCATTCAGTGATTCTGTAATCTGGGCTCTCAGGTCCCTCTGGTGCAGAATTTTCCTATGCTGGTGCTCTGTGTGATTGGGATAAAGGAAGCTGTGTGGTACCTATTTACAGAAATTTAACCATCCAGTGGACTTTCTGGGGATACACAGAAGAAAGAAGAGGATTGGGACATTCTTGAAGGTAGGTGGCAGCTGAAATGGGGAGTTCAGACTCCCTCTAAGGGTGAAAAATTGACTATTTTTAACAGACTGCAGGAAATATTTGTTGTTGTGACTCTAAAATGTTGTTTATTGTAGTAATGAGTCAAAAAGAAGATAAGTGTTTCAGGAGGCATTCCCCTAGAACTTTGTCCTCAATATTTGCTACTTGAAACTAGTAAGTGAAAAAGAAGAATGACCATTGCTGTCTTGTTTTATTGTTCTGGCTGGCACTGTTCTGTGCATAATGCTTAAGAATCTGACTGGCCACCAAGCAAGTCTTTGCCTTGACCCATTCTCCTCCTAGTCAGGAGGCTGTCTGTCAAAGTAGCTGGGATTTGGATGAAACCTGCTGAGAGGAGTATAACATTCCAGCTTTATTCAACCTAGAGCTGTGAGAAATATTCACCACAAAACCTAAAACTTTTCAAGGAAGCTTATGTTGAATATCAAGTGCAGAGAGGGATTTACTGTTGGGTTGGATTCATGTAAAACTGTACTTTTGACATACTTTTGACCTGAAACCTGGCAATGCTCAGATATTTTGACTGAAGTTACTTTGAGGCTACAAAGCCAAAACTTAAAGAAAAACTCAGAAACTGCAAAGGTGGCATGAAGAGCTCAAACTTAACCCCAAATCTGCTTCAGATTTTGTGCTAGATTGAGCTAGGTGCTGCTTAGCCTTTCTGCTTCCAAGTAAACAACAGGCACATCATTGCAATCTGTTGCATTGCAATCTGTTGCAAACATGAATAAGAACTGGAATATTGTGAAGCTTGAAAATAATTAAATAATTTTGTATTCTCAGAAAAAAGTCATGAACTATGAGGATAGGAGTGTTACTGGTGGTTTCCCCAAATATTTGCTCAAGGGCATGGTTTAGAATCCCAGTGGAGATGGAGCTTTGTTGGATATTTAATCTGAGTTGTTAATTGCTTGGTGTTGCCTTAGCACTGTCCAGCCATCTCAGCCTTTGATGGTGAGCACCAACTTGGAAATAATCCTGTGTGGTGTATTTTTGTCCCCTACTTTAAAAATATATTATTTTTTACATCTTGTATTGCATTAGGAATGACTACAAAAGATCAGCACATAGCAACAGGTAGAAATAAAAGTAGGATTTGCTTAGTTATTTTGCTCAGATTGAATTTAATGGAAAACTTATATGGAGAAGAGGCTGTGTTGCTTTTGCAGATGAAAATATTCTTGGGAGAAGAAAGCTTTTCTCTATAGAAATGTTACTGCAGAGGATCAGACAAACATTCCCAGCTCTTTGAATAGTCCAAGTTCTGAGAGCTGTAGTTCCAACAGGCTCTAGGAAAGAAGGCAGTCATGCACATGTATGTGAATTGTCTCACATGACTAAAAGCAAAGGAACTTTGTCATGCCGAATCCTAACCTTTTTTCAGCAAGGAATTTTCTGTCTGGCAACAAAGAACATCTTATTCTCTCCCCTGCTGACTCTTGCTGCTTATATTCCTCCCTAATTGGAAGCTGCAGTATAGATGTGCAAAAAAGGATATGCTTAGAGCATACCTCAAGGGTGAGCTGTCTAACCAAGGAAACAATTTCATCCTGTCTGTTGTGAAAAGAGCCTGGCGCTACAGAACACCTATTTCATAGCTCAGCAGGGCAGAATACAGCAAGGAGAAAAGA